TCCATGGCTTCTACAGAAAAATAATGTGGGGTGTCACGAGGTATGACAATATAGGTCTTGTAGAAGAGAAACAGGCGCATCTCTTGCGCAAGGTATCGAAGGGCGCTATGTTCAAAAATCTGAAACTAGAGCTCAAAATTTAAAAACAAAATTGTTAAAAACAGGGGGGTTGGCCTATTCCATGGCTTCTAGAGAAAAATAATGAGGGGTGTCACGGGGTATGACTATATAGGTCTTGTAGAGGAGAAACAGGCGCATCTTTTGCGGAAGGTATTGAATGGCGCTATGTTCAAAAATTTGAAACTAGAGCTCAAAATTTAAAAAAAAAATTGTTAAAAACAGAGGGGTTGGCCTATTCCATGGCTTCTACAGAAAAATAATGAGGTTGTCACGGGGTATGACTATATAGGTCTTGTAGAAGAGAAACAGGCGCATCTTTTGCGCAAGGTATTGAAGGGCGCTATGTTCAAAAATCTGAAACTAGAGCTCAAAATTTGAAAAAAAAAAATTGTTAAAAACAGGGGGACTGGCCTATTCCGTGGCTTCTAGAGAAAAATAATGAGGGGTGTCACGGGGTATGACTATTAAGGTCTTGTAGAAGAGAAACAGACGCATCTTTTGCGCAAGGTATCGAAGGGTGCTATGTTCAAAAATCTGAAACTAGAGCTCAAAATTTGAAAAAAATTGTTTAAAACAGGGGGTTGGCCTATTCCATGGCTTCTACAGAAAAATAATGAGGAGTGTCACAGGGTATGACTATATAGGTCTTGTAGAGGAGAAACAGGCACATCTCTTGCGCAAGGTATCGAAGGGCGCTATGTTCAAAAATCTGAAACTAGAGCTCAAAATTTGAAAAAAATTGTTAAAAACAGGGAGGTTGGCCTATTCCATGGCTTCTAGAGAAAAATAATGTGGGGTGTCACGGGGTATGACAATATAGGTCTTGTAGAAGAGAAACAGGCGCATCTCTTGCGCAAGGTATCAAAGGGCGCTATGTTCAAAAATCTGAAACTAGAGCTAAAAATTTGAAAAAAATTGTTAAAAACAGGGGGGTTGGCCTATTCCATGGCTTCTACAGAAAAATAATGAGGGGCGTCACGGGGTACGACTATATAGGTCTTGTAGTGGAGAAACAGGCACATCTTTTGCGCAAGGTATCGAAGGGCTCTATGTTCAAAAATCTGAAACTAGAGCTCAAAATTTGAAAAAAATTGTTAAAAACAGGGGGTTGGCCTATTCCATGGCTTCTAGAGAAAAATAATGAGGGGTGTCACGGGGTATGACTATATAGGTCTTGTAGAGGAGAAACAGGCGCATCTTTTGCGCAAGGTATCGAAGGGCGCTATGTTCAAAAATCTGAAACTAGAGCTCAAAATTCGAAAAAAAATTGTTAAAAACAGGGGGGTTGGCCTATTCCATGGCTTCTAGAGAAAAATAATGAGGGGTGTCACGGGGTATGACTATATAAGTCTTGTAGAGGAGAAACAGGCGCATCTTTTGCGAAAGGTATCAAAGGGCGCTATGTTCAAAAATCTGAAACTAGAGCTAAAAATTTGAAAAAAATTGTTAAAAACAGGGGGGTTGGCCTATTCCATGGCTTCTACAGAAAAATAATGAGGGGCGTCACGGGGTACGACTATATAGGTCTTGTAGTGGAGAAACAGGCACATCTTTTGCGCAAGGTATCGAAGGGCTCTATGTTCAAAAATCTGAAACTAGAGCTCAAAATTTGAAAAAAATTGTTAAAAACAGGGGGTTGGCCTATTCCATGGCTTCTAGAGAAAAATAATGAGGGGTGTCACGGGGTATGACTATATAGGTCTTGTAGAGGAGAAACAGGCGCATCTTTTGCGCAAGGTATCTAAGGGCGCTATGTTCAAAAATCTGAAACTAGAGCTCAAAATTCGAAAAAAAATTGTTGAAAACAGGGGGGTTGGCCTATTCCATGGCTTCTAGAGAAAAATAATGAGGGGCGTCACGGGGTACGACTATATAGGTCTTGTAGTGGAGAAACAGGCACATCTTTTGCGCAAGGTATCGAAGGGCTCTATGTTCAAAAATCTGAAACTAGAGCTCAAAATTTGAAAAAAATTGTTAAAAACAGGGGGTTGGCCTATTCCATGGCTTCTAGAGAAAAATAATGAGGGGTGTCACGGGGTATGACTATATAGGTCTTGTAGAGGAGAAACAGGCGCATCTTTTGCGCAAGGTATCGAAGGGCGCTATGTTCAAAAATCTGAAACTAGAGCTCAAAATTCGAAAAAAAATTGTTAAAAACAGGGGGGTTGGCCTATTCCATGGCTTCTAGAGAAAAATAATGAGGGGTGTCACGGAGAATGACTATATAGGTTTTGAAGAAGAGAAACAGGCGCATCTCTTGTGCAAGGTATCGAAGGGCGCTATGTTCAAAAATCTGAAACTAGAGCTCAAAATTTAAAAACAAAATTGTTAAAAACAGGGGGGTTGGCCTATTCCATGGCTTCTAGAGAAAAATAATGAGGGGTGTCACGGGGTATGACTATATAGGTCTTGTAGAGGAGAAACAGGCGCATCTTTTGCGGAAGGTATCGAATTGCGCTATGTTCAAAAATTTGAAACTAGAGCTCAAAATTTAAAAAAAAAATTGTTAAAAACAGAGGGGTTGGCCTATTCCATGGCTTCTACAGAAAAATAATGAGGGTGTCACGGGGTGTGACTATATAGGTCTTGTAGAAGAGAAACAGGCGCATTTTTTGCGCAAGGTATTGAAGGGCGCTATGTTCAAAAATCTGAAACTAGAGCTCAAAATTTGAAAAAAAAAATTGTTAAAAACAGGGGAATTGGCCTATTACGTGGCTTCTAGAGAAAAATAATGAGGGGTGTCACGGGGTATGACTATATAGGTCTTGTAGAAGAGAAACAAGCGCATCTTTTGCGCAAGGTATCGAAGGGCGCTATGTTCAAAAATCTGAAACTAGAGCTCAAAATTTGAAAAAAAATGTTAAAAACAGGGGGGTTGGCCTATTCCATGGCTTCTACAGAAAAATAATGTGGGGTGTCACGAGGTATGACAATATAGGTCTTGTAGAAGAGAAACAGGCGCATCTCTTGCGCAAGGTATCGAAGGGCGCTATGTTCAAAAATCTGAAACTAGAGCTCAAAATTTAAAAACAAAATTGTTAAAAACAGGGGGGTTGGCCTATTCCATGGCTTCTAGAGAAAAATAATGAGGGGTGTCACGGGGTATGACTATATAGGTCTTGTAGAGGAGAAACAGGCGCATCTTTTGCGGAAGGTATTGAATGGCGCTATGTTCAAAAATTTGAAACTAGAGCTCAAAATTTAAAAAAAAAATTGTTAAAAACAGAGGGGTTGGCCTATTCCATGGCTTCTACAGAAAAATAATGAGGGTGTCACGGGGTATGACTATATAGGTCTTGTAGAAGAGAAACAGGCGCATCTTTTGCGCAAGGTATTGAAGGGCGCTATGTTCAAAAATCTGAAACTAGAGCTCAAAATTTGAAAAAAAAAAATTGTTAAAAACAGGGGGACTGGCCTATTCCGTGGCTTCTAGAGAAAAATAATGAGGGGTGTCACGGGGTATGACTATATAGGTCTTGTAGAAGAGAAACAGACGCATCTTTTGCGCAAGGTATCGAAGGGTGCTATGTTCAAAAATCTGAAACTAGAGCTCAAAATTTGAAAAAAATTGTTTAAAACAGGGGGTTGGCCTATTCCATGGCTTCTACAGAAAAATAATGAGGAGTGTCACGGGGTATGACTATATAGGTCTTGTAGAGGAGAAACAGGCGCATCTTTTGCGCAAGGTATCGAAGGGCGCTATGTTCAAAAATCTGAAACTAGAGCTCAAAATTCGAAAAAAAATTGTTAAAAACAGGGGGGTTGGCCTATTCCATGGCTTCTAGAGAAAAATAATGAGGGGCGTCACGGGGTACGACTATATAGGTCTTGTAGTGGAGAAACAGGCACATCTTTTGCGCAAGGTATCGAAGGGCTCTATGTTCAAAAATCTGAAACTAGAGCTCAAAATTTGAAAAAAATTGTTAAAAACAGGGGGTTGGCCTATTCCATGGCTTCTAGAGAAAAATAATGAGGGGTGTCACGGGGTATGACTATATAGGTCTTGTAGAGGAGAAACAGGCGCATCTTTTGTGCAAGGTATCGAAGGGCGCTATGTTCAAAAATCTGAAACTAGAGCTCAAAATTTGAAAAAAATTGTTTAAAACAGGGGGTTGGCCTATTCCATGGCTTCTACAGAAAAATAATGAGGAGTGTCACGGGGTATGACTATATAGGTCTTGTAGAGGAGAAACAGGCGCATCTCTTGCGCAAGGTATCGAAGGGCGCTATGTTCAAAAATCTGAAACTAGAGCTCAAAATTTGAAAAAAATTGTTAAAAACAGGGAGGTTGGCCTATTCCATGGCTTCTAGAGAAAAATAATGTGGGGTGTCACGGGGTATGACAATATAGGTCTTGTAGAAGAGAAACAGGCGCATCTCTTGCGCAAGGTATCAAAGGGCGCTATGTTCAAAAATTTGAAACTAGAGCTCAAAATTTGAAAAAAAAAAATTGTTAAAAACAGGGGGACTGGCCTATTCCGTGGCTTCTAGAGAAAAATAATGAGGGGTGTCACGGGGTATGACTATATAGGTCTTGTAGAAGAGAAACAGACGCATCTTTTGCGCAAGGTATCGAAGGGTGCTATGTTCAAAAATCTGAAACTAGAGCTCAAAATTTGAAAAAAATTGTTTAAAACAGGGGGTTGGCCTATTCCATGGCTTCTACAGAAAAATAATGAGGAGTGTCACGGGGTATGACTATATAGGTCTTGTAGAGGAGAAACAGGCGCATCTCTTGCGCAAGGTATCGAAGGGCGCTATGTTCAAAAATCTGAAACTAGAGCTCAAAATTTGAAAAAAATTGTTAAAAACAGGGAGGTTGGCCTATTCCATGGCTTCTACAGAAAAATAATGAGGGGCGTCACGGGGTACGACTATATAGGTCTTGTAGTGGAGAAACAGGCACATCTTTTGCGCAAGGTATCGAAGGGCTCTATGTTCAAAAATCTGAAACTAGAGCTCAAAATTTGAAAAAAATTGTTAAAAACAGGGGGTTGGCCTATTCCATGGCTTCTAGAGAAAAATAATGAGGGGTGTCACGGGGTATGACTATATAGGTCTTGTAGAGGAGAAACAGGCGCATCTTTTGCGCAAGGTATCGAAGGGCGCTATGTTCAAAAATCTGAAACTAGAGCTCAAAATTCGAAAAAAAATTGTTAAAAACAGGGGGGTTGGCCTATTCCATGGCTTCTAGAGAAAAATAATGAGGGGCGTCACGGGGTACGACTATATAGGTCTTGTAGTGGAGAAACAGGCACATCTTTTGCGCAAGGTATCGAAGGGCTCTATGTTCAAAAATCTGAAACTAGAGCTCAAAATTTGAAAAAAATTGTTAAAAACAGGGGGTTGGCCTATTCCATGGCTTCTAGAGAAAAATAATGAGGGGTGTCACGGGGTATGACTATATAGGTCTTGTAGAGGAGAAACAGGCGCATCTTTTGTGCAAGGTATCGAAGGGCGCTATGTTCAAAAATCTGAAACTAGAGCTCAAAATTTGAAAAAAATTGTTTAAAACAGGGGGTTGGCCTATTCCATGGCTTCTACAGAAAAATAATGAGGAGTGTCACGGGGTATGACTATATAGGTCTTGTAGAGGAGAAACAGGCGCATCTCTTGCGCAAGGTATCGAAGGGCGCTATGTTCAAAAATCTGAAACTAGAGCTCAAAATTTGAAAAAAATTGTTAAAAACAGGGAGGTTGGCCTATTCCATGGCTTCTAGAGAAAAATAATGTGGGGTGTCACGGGGTATGACAATATAGGTCTTGTAGAAGAGAAACAGGCGCATCTCTTGCGCAAGGTATCAAAGGGCGCTATGTTCAAAAATTTGAAACTAGAGCTCAAAATTTGAAAAAAATTGTTAAAAACAGGGGGTTGGCCTATTCCATGGCTTCTAGAGAAAAATAATGAGGGGTGTCACGGGGTATGACTATATAGGTCTTGTAGAGGAGAAACAGGCGCATCTTTTGCGCAAGGTATCGAAGGGCGCTATGTTCAAAAATCTGAAACTAGAGCTCAAAATTCGAAAAAAAATTGTTAAAAACAGGGGGGTTGGCCTATTCCATGGCTTCTAGAGAAAAATAATGAGGGGTGTCACGGGGTATGACTATATAAGTCTTGTAGAGGAGAAACAGGCGCATCTTTTGCGAAAGGTATCAAAGGGCGCTATATTCAAAAATCTGAAACTAGAGCTCAAATTTCGAAAAAAAATTGTTAAAAACAGGGGTGTTGGCCTATTCCTTGGCTTCTAGAGAAAAATAATGAGGGGTGTCACGCGGTATGACTATATAGGTCTTGTAGAGGAGAAACAGGCGCATCTTTTGCGCAAGGTATCGAATGGCACTATGTTCAAAAATTTGAAACTAGAGCTCAAAATTTGAAAAAAAAAATTGTTAAAAACAGAGGGGTTGGCCTATTCCATGGCTTCTACAGAAAAATAATGAGGGTGTCACGGGGTATGACTATATAGGTCTTGTAGAGGAGAAACAGGCGCATCTTTTGCGCAAGGTATTGAAGGGCGCTATGTTCAAAAATCTGAAACTAGAGCTCAAAATTTGAAAAAAAAAATTGTTAAAAACAGGGAAATTTGCCTATTCCGTGGCTTCTAGAGAAAAATAATTAGAGGTGTCACGGGGTATGACTATATAGGTCTTGTAGAAGAGAAACAGGCGCATCTTTTGCGCAAGGTATCGAAGGACGCTATGTTCAAAAATCTGAAACTAGAGCTCAAAATTTGAAAAAAATTGTTAAAAACAGGGGGGTTGGCCTATTCCATGGTTTCTAGAGAAAAATAATGAGGGGTGTCACGGGGAATGACTATATAGGTCTTGTAGAAGAGAAACAGGCGCATCTTTTGCGCAAGGTATCGAAGGGCGCTATATTCAAAAATCTGAAACAAGAGCTCAAAATTTGAAAAAAAAAAGTTAAAAACAGGGGGTTGGCCTATTCCATGGCTTCTAGAGAAAAATAATGAGGGGTGTCACGGGGTATGACTATATAGGTCTTGTACAAGTGAAACAGGCGCATCTTTTGCGCAAGGTATCGAAGGGCACTATGTTCAAAAATCTGAAACTAGAGCTCAAAATTTGAAAAAAATTTGTTAAAAACAGGGGGAATGGCCTTTTCCATGGGCTCTAGAGAAAAATAATGAGGGGTGTCACGGGGTATGTCTATATAGGTCTTGTAGAAGAGAAACAAGTGCATCTTTTGCGCAAGGTAACGAAGGGCGCTATGTTCAAAAATCTGAAACTAGAGCTCAAAATTTGAAAAAAAAAGTTAAAAACAAGGGGTTGGCCTATTCCATGGCTTCTAGAGAAAAATAATGAGGAGTGTCACGGGGTATGACTATATAGGTCTTGTAGAGGAGAAACAGGCGCATCTTTTGCGCAAGGTATCGAAGGGCTCTATGTTCAAAAATCTGAAACTAGAGCACAAAATCTGAAAAAAAAATTTGTTAAAAACAGGGGGGTTGGTCTATTCCATGGCTTCTAGAGAAAAATAGTGAGGGGTGTCACGGGGTATGACTATATAGGTCTTGTAGAGGAGAAACAGGCGCATCTTTTGCGCAAGGTATCGAAGGGCGCTATGTTCAAAAATCTGAAACTAGAGCTCAAAATTTTGAAAAAAAATGTTAAAAACAGGGGGGTTGGCCTATTCCATGGCTTCTAGAGAAAAATAATGAGGGGTGTCACGGGGTATGACTATATAGGTCTTGTAGAAGAGAAATAGGCGCATCTTTTGCGCAAGGTATCGAAGGGCGCTATGTTCAAAAATCTGAAACTAGAGCTCAAAATTTAAAAAAAAAATTGTTAAAAACAGGGGGGTTGGCCTATTCCATGGCTTCTAGAGAAAAATAATGAGGGGTGTCACGGGGTATGACTATATAGGTCTTGTAGAGGAGAAACAGGCGCATCTCTTGCGCAAGGTATCGAAGGGCGCTATGTTCAAAAATCTGAAACTAGAGCTCAAAATTTCAAACAAATTGTTAAAAACAGGAGGGGTTGGCCTATTCCATGGTTTCTAGAGAAAAATAATGAGGGGTGTCACGGGGTATGACTATATAGGTCTTGTAGAGGAGAAACAGGCGCATCTTTTGTGCAATGTATCGAAGGGCGCTATGTTCAAAAATCTGAAACTAGAGCTCAAAATTTGAAAAAAAATTGTTAAAAACAGGGGGAATGGCCTTTTCCATGGGTTTTAGAGAAAAATAATGAGGGGTGTCACGGGGTATGACTATATAAGTCTTGTAGAAGAGAAACAAGTGCATCTTTTGCGCAAGGTAACGAAGGGCGCTATGTTCAAAAATCTGAAACTAGAGCTCAAAATTTGAAAAAATTATTAAAAACAAGGGGTTGGCCTATTCCGTGGCTTCTAGAAAAAATAATGAGGGGTGTCACGGGGTATGACTATATAGGTCTTGTAGAGGAGAAACAGGCGCTTCTCTTGAGCAAGGTAGCGAACGGCTCTATGTTCAAAAATCTGAAACTAGAGCTCAAATGTTGAAAAAAAATTGTTAAAAACAGGGGGGTTGGCCTATTCCATGGCTTCTACAGAAAAATAATGAGGGGTGTCACGGGGTATGACTATATAAGTCTTGTAGAAGAGAAACAAGTGCATCTTTTGCGCAAGGTAACGAAGGGCGCTATGTTCAAAAATCTGAAACTAGAGCTCAAAATTTGAAAAAAAAATATTAAAAACAGGGGGGTTGGTCTATTCCATGGCTTCTAGAGAAAAATAATGAGGGGTGTCACGGGGTATGACTGTATAGGTCTTGTAGAAGAGAAACAGGCGCATCTTTTGCGCAAGATATCGAAGGGCGCTATAATAAAGAAATTGAAACTAGAGCTCAAAATTAAAAAAAAAATTGTTAAAAACAGGGGGTTGGCCTATTCCATGGCTTCTACAGAAAAATAATGTTGGGTAGTAGTGTAAAAAAGGGGATTCTGCCGCACTTGCCATTTTTGAGCACAAATCCTGCATAGGGACCCCAACCTCAAACATAAAATGCAAATGCATTGTGTTTCAACTAGTCTAAGGGTAGAAACAAGAATATGGCTTTTTGTAAACAATGGTAGAGACACCTTAAAGGGATGTAATCCTAGGGGTAGATACAAAAATATGGCTTTCGTACAAAAGATGGAGGAACTCAGAAGTTAAAAAATCGTAGACGACGATTTTATTAATGATAATGTTTTCGAGGAAAAGGCAAAGGACCAGAGCCTGGAAACCCTAAAATGGAAGGAACTCCCAACCTGGGTAAAATATAAAATCCTAGAAGTGGTAGAAGTAGATGGGAAGTTTGGGAGGAGTAAGATCCTCACCTTGAAAAACAAAGAAGGAGAAACGACAAGGATATGGGCCTGCAGTAGTCTGAATAGAGAGAAGGAACCCTTGGAAGGAGCCTTCGTGAGAAGTACAGGCTTAAAAGTTAGTAAAAAGACCAAACAGGAGTACTTTTCTTGCGATCTTATAAGAAATTAATTAAAAAAAAACAAAAAAAATGGGGTGGGTGGGGTACAAAAAAATTTTTCCAATCCGACATTTCTGCCGGATCGGAAAGTTTTTTTTTTTTTTTTTTTTTTATACTTTAAACGGAACACATCGTGAAACGATGTGTGTAGTGAAGCGTAATGGAATGATGTGTGACGTTTTTACGGCGCATGCGCATTATGGTCCTCACTAAAAGTGGTGGAAGGTTGTCGCAGCTGATCTTTCTCATCATAGTAATTCTTGAGGCAGCTTGCGATCTTACCAAACTCAGCATCACCAATTTGTTCATCATCAGCCAAAGCAGTACTAATACATTGTTCATCCAAGGATTTTGTGGACTGTGCCAATCGCAAGGTGTCGCGCTGTTTTTCTTCTTTTTCATGATACGCCCTGAGATCAGTGTGAGTACCATCACGCCAGTGGCACTCAAGCAAGCAAGGGATCCTAGGGGAAGGGAGGCTATAATACCTATACCGGTCAAAGCTGAACCCATGGTGCAGCTGGTCAACATCAAACTGGCTACGAAACACACACCCTGTGCTATAGACACTACATTATCGAGTCGTTTGTAGATCTTCAAGGTACGTTGATACTTAAGAATATCCGCGTTGAGTTGGTCTTCCATACATTCGACTCTGGTCTGCCGCAATCCAGAATCTAAATCATCCATTTATTTATAGGAGCATACCGAGGAGGGGAATGTTTTTGAAGGGCTGTTAGCACCTAAGATCAGACCGGCTCCGTCGTGGAATTGCTGACCACGCTTTAAGTAGAGTCCATTACCATAGGTGATCCATGCGTTTGAGGGTTTGAGGTAGAGACCGTTGCCACTAGCTAGGTTTCACGGTATAAACACACCCACCACGTTTCAGGTACAATCCAGACCCTAAGGCCTTGTTGATGGCTACACCACCCAGACCGTTCAAGGCTCCAACACCCAAGGCAGGTAGAATTGTCTTAGCTACCATGGGAAGTGCCCTCATTACCAGCCCTGCCAACATGGGTAGGAATCCACCTACTTTTTGCATGTTTTCCTTCATTTGGGCGGCACTCAGCTACAGATTCATACCACCAGTACCTTTCTGGAGAAGCTTAATAATCTTTTGAACCTGCCGAGAGGTGAGCCACATCTTGTGTTCACCTTGCATGTTTGCGTGGGACAAACGAATGGAGACCGGACAACCTTGCTTGACAGCCCGTTGTAGTTTATCAGCTTGACCTTTTGTCACGGTCAAACCATGTTCGTGATAAGTCATTTATTTATATCTCACGAAGATGAAAGCGGATGGAGAGATGTTCACCCCTGAAATCGATGGGCCTACCATCTTGATCGGTGAGATACGTTTGCATGCGATTGATGGTTCGCAAGGTCACCGGCAAGTATACTAGATTCTTGGGGGTTTGAATTATCTTCATACCAGGACCGTCTGCGGGAAAGAAGCTGTAGATGGTAGACTGCTGTGTACCATTCACATAACTTCCATGGATGATATCACTATTCACCAGAATGCTGTTGATGCTGATGATATTTACAATGTGTTCCCCTTCTGTATAGCCATCTGTGATCATATCGAATGTGTAAATCTGCCATTGACAACGTTGAAGTATACTTGATAGTGTCTGGCGAGGGTTAGCGTTGCTCTTAGGGTCGCCCGGTTGACATCGATGATGATTTTTGTTTTGTGTTTGTTGAGCCGTAGCCGCCGCTGGATCTCATTGTTGATGTCTTCGATGTCATAGGAACCTGTGCTCAGTGCGATGGGAAACCAGTTGGCACCATCGTCGGGGGAGTAGCGGAAGGAATTGTTACCTGTATGAATGTTGGGGATGGAGTTATAGGTTTCCAGGTTCACTAAGGCCATCTCATACGTCTTGGATTCCTTGAGTTCCAGTGGGGGGTTGAACCAGGTAAGGATTTGACTATCGTTTCCAGAGACGATGAACGAGAACCCCTGTTTGGGGTCAGTGTTGTTTGCAATTCGTCGCAAAACTGTGTTATCCATTTATTTATGGTACACCATTGTCACATATTTTTTTGCTTCCACTCTTCGATACCGTCATACTACTCCTTGAGTTGTCTACCAGCCTTCACCACGATCGCATAGACTTCGGCAGGGCGGCTGCAAAGAGGAGTAAATTTTATCCATTTTTTTTACTTTGAGAACAGAACGTTCATCTTCTGACCATCGGATTCAAACTGTAGGATTCTGTCGGAAATGATAAGTGCAAATGCTCTGGTGTTGGCCTCCACGTAACGCTCGAACTGGGCCCGGATCTGAATGTCCACCGTGGATTCTTTCAGCCGCTCGGACTGGTGACTCCCGTCAATGACAAACAAGGGGTACAGATCGATGAAGTCAGAGGGGTTGATGCCACCGTTGCTGAGGAGGGTGTCCATGTTGTGTAATTTCTTCCTGAAGTCAGCAGCCTCTTTGAACACTCTGGCTACCCTGTTTGCGGTGAAAACGGCATTGTAGTCGACGGGCGGGTAGCGTTCAGCGTTGAGAGTGACATGGATGTTTTGCAATCGACAGAAATCGAACACTGCAACTTTGCGCTCCTGGTTCCCACTTCTCTCGGTTTGGAAGGCACCGATGATGTTCCTGGGCTTCTCGCGACCGCTCTTGGCAGATAAGCGCCAGCTGAACTGTGAGGCTTGGGGGACGGCTATGGAATCGCACTGCCTCGTTCGAAATCCACAGCTGATCTTCGCTTTACTCTTTTGCTTTACGGTTTTGTATAGCTGCATCTTGTTTTCGTCTAAAAGAGTGACGTGGGGGACGAACCATGAGATCTTACGCAGGACAACTTTTCCCACGTCGACGGCGTGGAATCGCGCACGAGTGTGATTTCATGCCTGAACCCGTACACGATCTTGTAGTCATCAGTGAACCCAAAAATGTGCTTCAGGGAGATGGCGAATGAAAACGACCCTTTGTTTGCCGGCTTGGAAACGATGTAGCCACGGCGCGCTACAAAGCCGTAGTTGTTTGCATGTGTGTCGATGGAGGAATCCTTGAACCACAGTTGGTTGAGACCTTGTGATTTGGAAAAGTCGTCGGGGTAGGTCAACATTCCCATCATGGTGGAGGCGACGCCGGGGTCGTTGATGTGCTCGATTTGCTGGCCGGAGAGTCGATAGCTGGTGGTTCTAAAGAGATACATGATACCATTATGGACGAGGGACACGAGATCAGCGTCGGCATATGCAGTGCCGTCGTTCTTTAGGAGCCATCCTTCTACCAAGAGATAACTCTCGGCGGGGTGTAGGAACAAATCCTGGGTTTCGATGTTGATTCGGATTTCAAAACCGGCACTGTTCAGCTGGGCACCGGCTTGTGGTTCGTATTCTCGAACCTGATATTCCTGGAGACTTTCGTGGAAGGTCAACCCTTCGGTGATTGTAAGGATGTCAGTCATAATGTATTTATCTATAACGTTGGACGAAGTCGTGGATGGTTTTGATACCAGAGCCGGAGATGAGATTGTTCAACCGAACTT